TAGGATTCTGTGGGGCAAGCCTGGGGGAGAGAAGGGGATAGGATAGGATAGGATAGGATAGGATAGGATTCTGTGGGGCAAGCCTGGGGAGAGAAGGGGATAGGATAGGATAGGATAGGATAGGATAGGATAGGATAGGATAGGATAGGATAGGCTTCTGTGGGGCAAGCCTGAGGGAGAGAAGGGGACAGCAACTGGCTCTTTGAGGGCAAAGATAATGCTGATGCGACCCTCAATGAAATGGAGTTTGACACCCCTGCCCTAGATGTAGCCTTCAGCCCTTGGAGGAAAGATGGAGTATAAGCCTAATAAATAAACAGAGGTGTGAATCCAGTCATTCTGCCTGAATCTATCCTCAGACCCAATTTAGCAACTACCTTAGTTTCCTTCTTTGTTTAAGGAGGCCACTGAATTTTTACTTGTGAGATGTTTACTATTATCCAGCTACTCAGAAGCTGTTCCTAATGTAACACCCTGAGCTGGAAATAATAGGCTTACATTTCAAGGGAGCTACTATTTTTTTTTTTTAAATGGAAACAAACTACAGATAGTCCTTGACACACAATCATGTGTTTAGTGACCATTCGAAGTTACAAGAGCGCTGGAAAAAGTGTCTTATGACCATTTTTCACTCTTACGACCGTGATCAGAATTCGGACACTTGGCACGTGATCAGAATTGGGACACTTGGCAACAGGTTCGTATTTATGACGGTTGCAGTATCCGGAAGTCATGTGATCATCTTTTGCAACTATCTGACAAACAAAGTCAATGGGGAAGCCAGATTCACTTAATAGCTGCAGTGATTCACTTAACAACTGTGGCAAGAACAGTTGTAAAATGGGGGAAAACTCACTTAACAACTGTCTTGCTTAGCAATAGAAACTTTGAACTCAATTGTGGTCGTAAGTCGAGGACTACCTATACTCTGTTTTTTTTCCCCCCATGACAAATGTTCAGAAGAGCGTCCTCAAGGATATATTCTGTATATCATTAAGTCTGATGTTTGTTTACCAAGCTGTGTTTGCTTATGCTGCCCTATATAGATTATTCTGTTTGTTCTTCGTTTAAACCACGCCTTTAATTTGTCCTCTGGGACGCCCTTGTGTTCAGATCACAATTTTTCGGTCAGGCTAAAGATTCAGTAAAGGGAAGTAAATGTTCGCAATGGCACAGAAATATTCCGTGGTTCACGACTGCTTCTGCTTTGTTTCTTATTTGTTATTTGGCACCACTCCTATGCCAGCACGGTTAAATAATTCTGGGCAGCTTGCGCATGTAAAACAATCATAAGAGCATTAAAACAATAGGCATATTCAAAGAAAACCCTGCTTGTTGTTGATATTCCCAACAGGTGAAGATCTGAAACCCGTGGCTGGTGTTTTGCCTGTTTTGACGCCAGCATATCACTGCCCAGCCTTATGGAATACGTTGCACCTCCTATAAAGGTGCATTACCATTTAGGAGAGAAATAACAACCACAATCCAAAAAGGATTGTCATCATTTCTCTTCTAAATTTTAACAAGGAGGGAGCCATCTTTGCACGGGGGAGTGCAACGTATTCCATAAGGCTGAACAGTGACATGTTGGTGAGGAAGGGGGTCAAAACAGTAGATAGCAGTCATGGCCTTCATAGTTGAAACAGGTTTGATTGTCCCCAGAACAGCTGAATGGAGTAGAGTAGAGTAGAGTAGAGTAGAGTAGAGTAGAGTAGAGTAGAGTAGAGTAGAGTAGAGTAGAGTAGAGTAGAGTAAACAGAGTTGGAACAGACCTTGGAGGTCATCTAGTCCAACCCCCTGTTTGGAAACCCTATACCATTTCAGACAAATGATTGTCCAGTCTCTTCTTTAAAACCTCCAGTGTTGGAGCATTCAGAACTTCTGGAGGCAGGTTGTTCTACTGATTAATTGTTCTAACAGCCAGGAAATTGCTCCTTAGTTCTATGTTGCTTCCCTCCTTGACTAGTTTCCATCCGTTGCTTCTTGTCCTGCCTTCAGAAGCCTTGGAAAAGAGCTTGACTCCCTCTTCTTTGTGGCAGCCCCTGAGATATTGGAACACTGCTATCATGTCACTATAGTCCTTCTTTTCATTAAACTAGACATACCCTATTCCAGCAACCGTTCTTGATATGTTTTAGCCTCCAGTCCCCTGATCATTTTTGCTGCTCTTCTCTGCACTTCTCAACGTCTTTTTTACATCGTGGTGACTAAAACAGACAGCCAGGACTCTGGATCTTGGTCAAACTGGTACAAGAAGGACTTCTGAAGTGGGGTGGCACATTTTTTCTCTCTTCAGGCGCCTTTGGTAAAGAAAATTATGTGGAAAACACTGCTGAGGATAGAGCTGGGAGCAGCAGGGAACCAGGCCCCTTGCGTGCTCCCCTTCCTTCTTCCCGGACTCCGCTATGGGTCCTCTTCGGCTATTGATCAGCACCACGAACTGGCCAGGGAGCGATCTAAGACAGTTACCTCTTTCTACAATCAATCTGCCATTGATGCAGCCGCTGAAAAGGTGAGTGGAAATCAATACAGTTGAATTGATTGTTTTGACCCCCAGGTCATAACATAAGAATGCCATATCCTACAGCAAAATAACAATGAGACGATGAAATTATAAGAGAGAGTAATAGACATTCAGGTAATCCTCGACTTAACAATCATAATCGTAAGAGCCATGGTGGCTCAGTGGTTAGAATGCAGTACTGCAGGCTACTTCTGCTGACTGCCGGCTGCCAGCAGTTCGATTCTCACCAGCTCACGGTTGACTCAGCCTTCCATCCTTCCGAGGTCAGTAAAATGAAGACCCAGATTGTTGGAGGGGCAATAGGTTGACCCTGTAAACCAGAGCTTTTCAACCTTTTCACCCATTGTACCACTTTTAGGATATGGCAACATCCGAGTACCACCAGTTGCCTAGCAAGGTGTCAAAAACTTGATGACCAAAAATATATATATAAATAAGTGATAAAATACAGGTAGTCCTTGACTTACAACAGTTCACTTAGTGACTGTTCGAAGTTACAATGGCACTGAAAAAAGTGTCCCCCAAGCCACAGCCCAGCAAGACACCTGCCTGCCCACCCAGTGGCGCTCTTCCTCCTGTCCGAGGTTTTCATTGTTGTGAGCATTTCTGTTGAGGATTGGCAGCGGGGGTGGGGTGGGGGTGTTTGGTTTTTATTCCCCCCGTCTGCTGGGTGGTTGCAGCAGGTTTTGGTCACTTCACAAGACCCTGGGACACTGTGACCGTCATAAATATGAATCAGTTGCCAAGCATCTGAATGTAAATCACAAGACCCTGGAGATGCTGCAACATTCCAGCTGATCGGCACTTCATCTGGGCTCAGCAGAAGCGCCAGGATCAGCGCCAAGCTCCAGCTGGAGCCTGGCGCTGATCCTGGCGCTTCCACTGAGCCCTGACAGCCCCGAAGAAGCACTGATCCTGGCGCTTCCGCTGAGCCCTGACAGCCCTGCAGCTCCAGCCATCTCTTGCTCAGGCTTGTGCGGTGCTGCCATCGATTCAGCTCATTCCCCTCCCCCGCTACCACTTTTCTAGGATGGTTGTGTACCACCTGCCAGGTGCCAATGTACCACAGGTGGTACCCGTACCACTGGTTGAAAAGCCCTGCTGTAAACCACTTAGAGAGGGCTGTAAAGCACTGTGGAGAGGTAGATAAGTCTAAGTGCTCTTGCTATAATGGAGCCTGCCCGTTTGGGCTTGTCAGTCATAAGTTGGGTCACCGCGTGAGTGGATGCATTTTCACAACCTTTTTTTTTTTTTTTGCTGCATTTGTTAAGTGAATCCATTGTTCACTATGGGCTGCTTTTGCCCAAAACTGAAAGTAAATGCGACTACGGGACACTGGAAATGCATAAATGTGGGCTGGTTGCAGAGCACCCGAAACGCAGTTCTGTAGCCATTGGAATTTCAGAACCAGGTTATAAGGTGGTCTGTCATAATTTCAAATGGTCGCTAAACAACCGGTCGTAGCTTGAGGATTACCTGTATTAGATGTAAAAAGGTTGCAACCAAATAAAGCCCAGCTACAATTAAGGACTTAACTATTTCTTCCTAAGTTTAAATGACAGCAGAACCAAGGCAGTAATTGGTAGCTGATCGCTGGAAACACATCTGCAAGAACAGGGATGGGTAACTATGGCGACTTTACAACCTGTGGACTTCAAGTCCCAGAATTCCTGAGCCAGCCATGTATGGCTGCCTCTGGAATTCTGGGAATTGAAGACCACAGGTCATGAAGTTGTCATAATTGCCCACCCCTACGCAAGAAGTTAGTCAGAGCCCTTGAATTCATTGGCCATTCATGATTTGGCCCTGATGTCATTGTGAACGGGTCAGTGAAGGCCATAACGTAGAATATCCTCCACTTGGCCACTAATCGCAAGGACAGGGGCATTGTTCAACAGGGAGCTTGCAAAATCTCCCTTCAAGATATGTGGAGGGTGTGGCCTGCAGGTGAATGGGCATTAAAGTCCTTCAAAAGGTGACTGAGAACAGATATTGCAACCGAGTCCCCATTCATAGCTCAGACAAAACCCAATAAAGCATGGGGTCTTCAAACTTGGCCCTTTTACGACTTGTGGACTTCAACTCCCAGAATTCCTCAGCCAAGTACGCTGGCTGAGGAATTCTGGGAGTTGAAGTCCACAAGTCGTAAAAGGGCCAAGTTTGAAGACCCTTGCAATAAAGCATAGGCGAAGGGGCAGCCATTCCTGTTTCTCCAGCGCCTTCCAATAAAACTTCTGCCTTGAGACTGGAGCAGAACCAGCTCGGGCACCAGGAACATGGTTATCTCATGATTAAAATAAAAGGACAGGTTGGAGCAGACATGTTACATTCCTGGAGGGTGCCTGACCTAGTTGGCCACTGATCTGTTGGTTTTGGCATAGTTAATGCCCTTTCGGTGTTCATGGCAAGGAGGTTGGGTGGAGTTAGACTTAGACTTCATTTCCTTGGAAGACGGCCAATAAGGTTTGAATGCCGCAGACAGAAAGTCTTTGGCCTCTTATTTTGCTCGCTCCCAGCTGAAACGATTCCCCCAGCACAGCACAGCGTTTCTCGACCCTGGCAACTTGAAAAGGGGAGCACTTCAACCCCCAGAATGCCCCAACTCACATGCAATCAACAACCGGCAACCACTTTCTCGGTATTACAGATTATATTCGTTTATCGAAATATGAAATACAAAGAAAAATGAAAATAGTGGGAGAGTAGGGGAGGAAAAAGGAAAGAGGAAAAACATAGCGTAAAAGGGGGAAGGAAAAAAAAACACTGACTCCTTTTATAGTGCAGAAGAATAAAGTAATAACATACGGCCTCAGCTTTTTACTTTTACATAGTGATAGATACTAGCCATTTCTATAACAACAGATCTGTCTAATCAGTAAAAGCCAAAATCAAAGTTTCAGGGTTTTTTTCCCACCTCAAGAACAAAGTCCAGAAGTGGTTTCCAAGTAAAACATAAAGTTAGGTGTCCTCTTTTCCTTGATTAAAGTAGTCAATTCAGCCGTCTCTGCTAACTTCATCAGCTTTTGCAGCCAGTCATCCATTGTGGGGGGGCCACACATTTTAAAGTTGCCAAGGTTGAGAAACATTGCTCTAGTAGTGAATCCGAGTGGACTCCTTATTCACATTTTCCCTGTTTCCTGAGCTTGATGCATGCTTTTGTAAACCATCATCCCCGCATGGTTTTTCCAAGGTCATCTATCTCTGTGGTTCTTTACGTCAGGGCTTTTCAACCAGTGGTACGGGTACCACCTGTGGTACATTGGCACCTGGCAGGTGGTACGCGACCATCCTAGAAAAGTGGTAGTGGGGGAGGGGAATGAGCTGAACTGGTGGCAGCACCGCACAAGCCTGAGCGAGAGATGGCTGGAGCTGCAGGGCTGTCAGGGCTCAGTGGAAGTGCCAGGATCAGCGCTTCTTCGGGACTGTCAGGGCTCAGCGGAAGCACCAGGATCAGCGCCAGGCTCCAGCTGGAGCTTGGCGCTGATCCTGGCGCTTCTGCTGAGCCCAGAAGAAGCGCCAATCAGCTGGAATGTTGCAGCATCTCCAGGGTCTGGTGATTTACATTCAGATGCTTGGCAACTGATTCATATTTATGAGGGTCACAGTGTCCCAGGGTCATGTGAAGTGACCAAAACCTGCTACAACCACCCAGCAGACGGGGGGAATAAAAACCAAACACCCCCCACCCCACCCCCGCTGCCAATCCTCAACAGAAATGCTCACAACAATGAAGACCTCGGACAGGAGGAAGAGTGCCGCTGGGCGGGCGGGCAGTTGTCTTGCTTGGCTGTGGCTTGGGGGACACTTTTTTCAGTGCCATTGTAACGTCGAACAGTCATTAAGCGAACTGTTGTAAGTCGAGGACTACCTGTACTTTATCACTTTTTTCCGTTTTTTGGGGTGGTTATCAAGTTTTTGACACCTTGCTAGGCGACTGGTGGTACTCGGATATTGCCATATCCTAAAAGTGGTACAATGGGTGAAAAGGTTGAAAAGCCCTGATCTACATCAGGTGCTGGGGTAATTTATGGATGGGCGATAAAAATGGGTTGTAGAAGATGAGCAAGGGAGTTGATGGCCATTATAACTGGCTCAGGGTTTAGTTTGTGTCTGGGAAATTTTATTATTTACTTAAAACATTTATATAGCCGTCCATCTTTCAGCCAGCTCTGGGCAGTTCCCAATCAAGATTAAGAAAACGTATAAAATAGTTTTAAAAACTATAAAAACGCTATCATAAAACAGTTAGAAATCACAAAAAACTGGCGCCAATCCATCTTAACGTACCGTCAGGAATGAATTTGATTTCTAATTCTGCATGCTCAGAAGAGGGTCACCCTCAAAACTTTTTGAGGGCATCGTGAATTTGAGAAAAAGTTTTAAACTACAGCAGGGGTCCCCAAACCTGGCAACTTTTAAGACTTGTGTACTTCAACACCCAGAATTCCTCAGCAAGCCATGCTGGCTAGGAATTCTGGGAGTTGAAGTCCACAAGTCTTAAAGAGGCCATGTTTGGAGACCCCTGTACTACAGGGCAGGGTATAATGAAAAAAAAGTTTGTCGTGGGACCCTTGATGCTGTGCTTATTGCCTTCCTGGGGGCCTCTAGAGGTTTTGTCAACGTGCTTTCTGTTCTCTTTGCAGCCCTCTGTGAGGTTGACACCCACCACCATGTTGTATTCTGGACGTTCTCAAGATGGCAGCCACCTTTTGGTAGGTGTGAGATTACCTCCATGTTATTACTTGCCAATTATCTAGATCTGTTTTTCATCCTTTCCCTCCCGTTTGGAATTATGGGATTTATAGCTGCTTCAGGAGCTGCTGTACATATTGAGAAATCTTGGTTTGTATGCTAACTCTTTAAGTGCAGGAAGTCTCTTTTGGGAGACGGTATCCAAGAGTGTATACCTCATAGGTGTGACCTAGTAAAGCTGCATCATATGATTCTGTTATGTATCTAGACCAGGGGTAGGCAACCTCAGCTCTTTTATGACTCGTGGACTTCAACTCCCAGAATTCATGAGCCAACCATGCTGAGGGGAAAGGGAGAGTTTCCAAGCTGAGCCATGCTGGCTCAGGAATTCTGGGAGTTGAAGTCCACGAGTCATAAAAGAGCCAAGGTTGCCTACCCCTGATCTAGAACAGAAACGTTCTCTTTTTCAGGTGACACAATCTAGCACATGGAAAATCTGTTGATAAAGAAGCAGCCCCTGCTTCAAAATTCCCTCCCTTACGGCAAGCTTAATTTGTCGTTCTATTTCTTAGGTTTAGGGCTATTCGGCCCATCAAGCATAAATAATTTCCCCCCAAAAATATTCTGAGATGATTTAAACCAGAGGTGTCCAAGCTTGGCACCTTTTAAGACCTGTGGAACTCAACTCCCAGAATTCCCCAGCCAGCAGGGGGAATCCTGGGAGCTGAAGTCCACAAGTCTTAAAGTTGCCAAGGTTGGATACTTCTGGTTTAAACCTATACTGCAGGGGTCTTCAAACGTGGCCCTTTTATGACTTGTGGACTTCTAAATTTATAATAGGAAATTCCAATTCTCTTTCTCTCTCTCTCTCTCTCCCTCTCCCTCCCTCTCCCTCTCCCTCCCTCTCCCTCCCTCCCTCCCTCCCTCCCTTCCTTCCTTTTTTCTTCCACACTCTTTCTTCTTTCTTTCTTTCTTTCTTTCTTTCTTTCTTTCTTTCTTTCTTTCTTTCTTTCTTTCTTTCTTCCTTCCTTCCTTCCTTCCTTCCTTCCTTCCTTCCTTCTTCTTTCTTTTCCATTCTATTTTTATCCTGCCTTTATCAATTTATAAGTAGCTCAAGGTGAGAAACATATCTAATACTCCTTTCTCCTTCTATTTTCCCCGGGCTGCAGCCCATTCGGAACCGGGTTGTGGAAATGCTGGGCAAGTGCACGCGAAGCTGCATTGGCGAAAGCAGTGCACGTGCGTGAAACCAACCCCTCTCTCCCCCGCCACCGCCGCTGCCGCCGCCGGTCCACCCAGCCAGAAAGGTTGGAGACTGCCGATCTACAATCTCCCTTTTATGTTTTGCTACAGAAAAGCGCCCGTTACCTGCACCATGAGCTGCCGGTCCGTATTGCTCACCGCATCAAAGGGTTTCGAAGCCTTCCCTTCATCATTGGCTGCAACCCCACCATCCTCCATGTGGTAGGCGCACCAAGGTCTGCGGGGAAGCATCGGAAAGAGATGACCCATAACTGGCGTTGGATCTAAAGCAGGGAAACGGACGAGGCCCTTGAGGCTGTTGATGTTCTGATAATCCACCCTTAAAACGGTGTCGTAATTGCTTCCTTCACATTATGTAGCAAGGATCTCATTCCCTGCTTTTTCAAGCAACTATTTCTCAAAGCCGCAGGGCTGGTAGTCCTCGATTTACGGCTACAGTTGGGACCAGAATTTCCATTGTTAAACAAAGCAGTTGTTAATAGCAGTAGCAGTGGCGCTTAGACTTAGATACCGCTTCACAGTGCTTTACAGCCCTCTGTAAGCGGATTTACAGAGTCAGCCCAACAATCTGGGTCCTCGTTTTACCGACCTCGGAAGGATGGAAGGCTGAGTCAACCTTGAGCCAGTGAGAATCGAACTGCTGGCAGCCGGCAGTCAGCAGAAGTAGCCTGCAATACTGCATTCTAGCCACTGCGCCACCACGGCTCAGCTAAGCGAGTTGTATCCGATTTTATGGCCTTTATTGCCCCGATTAAGTGCCGTTGTTAAGGGAATACACGGTCCTTAAACAAATCCAGCTTCTTCCATTGATTTTGCTGGTCAAAAGCTGGCTGGGAAGGTCACCAATGGCGATCACATGACCCCGGGATGCTGTAACCGTCATAAATACGTGCTGGTTGCCAAGAGCACCCTAATTCTGGTCCTGTGATTGGGGGATGGTGCAAAGTGCCAGGAGCAGTCCTATCTCTGAACGGTCACTAAATGAATGGCTGTAAGTCAAGGGCTATCTGTAATGCAGAATCAAAGAGAAATTTGCTTTTGCACGTGGAAAGTTACACAGACAGGACTGGAGACCTTTGACCTCTGTTTTAGTGACGATTTTGTCTTTATTCCCAAATCTCGGTTCCGATGAGAGTCGGAACGGAGGATTATTTCAGCAAGGAAAATGTTCCTTGGATGTTGCTTCCCTGGCTAGGAAGGAAAGTTTGGGGAACCAGATGCTACATTCTCACTGCCTTTGCAGTGAAGATAGACGGGGCTTTTGGCTAACAGGAAGAACGAGTCGACTCACTCACTGGATTATGGATGGACTTACAGCCATTCTTTTAGCTATCCTTTAAAGCAGGGCTTTTCAACCAGTGGTACGGATACCACCTGTGGTACATTGGCACCTGGCAGGTGGTATGCGACCATCCTAGAAAAGTGGTAGCGGGGGAGGGGAATGAGCTGAATCGATGGCAGCACCGCACAAGCCTGAGAGAGAGATGGCTGGAGCTGCAGGGCTGTCAGGGCTCAGTGGAAGCGCCAGGATCAGCGACAGGCTCCAGCTGGAGCTCGGCGCTGATCCTGGCACTTCTGCTGAGCCCAGAAGAAGCACCGATCAGCTGGAATGTTGCAGCATCTCCAGGGTCTTGTGATTTACATTCAGATGCTTGGCAACTGATTCATATTTATGACAGTCACAGTGTCCCAGGGTCATGTGAAGTGACCAAAACCTGCTGCAACCACCCAGCAGACGGGGGGAATAAAAACCAAACACCCCCCACCCCACCCCTGCTGCCAATCCTCAACAGAAATGCTCACAACAATGGAAACCTCGGACAGGAGGAAGAGCGCCGCTGGGCGGGCAGGCAGGTGTCTTGCTCGGCTGTGGCTTGGGGGGCACTTTTTTCAGTGCCATTGTAACTTCGAACAGTCACTAAGCGAACTGTTGTAAGTCGAGGACTACCTGTACTTTATCACTTTTTTCCTTCTTTTTTTTTTGGTCATCAAGTTTTTGACACCTTGCTAGGCGACTGGTGGTACTCGGATGTTGCCATATCCTAAAAGTGGTACAATGGGTGAAAAGGTTGAAAAGCCCTAGTTTAGCTATCTTTTGGAATTACAACAGCAGTGAAAAAAGTGTCTTACGACCGCTGCAGCATCCCCATGGCCATGCGATTAGAACCCAGGCCCTTGGCAACCGGCATGCGTTGACGACGGTTGTCATGTCCCAGGGTCACGTGATCACACCTGCCGCTTTCCCAGCCAGCTTCCGAATAAGCAAAGTCCATGGGGGAAGCCAGATTCGGTTAGTGACCTCAGGATTCAATTGATCAACTGCAGTGATTTGTTTAACAATCGTGGCATAGAAAAGGTTGGAAAATTGGGTGCGACTCACTTAACAACAGCCTTGCCTAGCAGGGGTGATTCTGATCCCAATTAAGGTTGTAAGCTGAGGACTACCCATACAGGGAACTTAAGAAATCAATGGCTTACAGCAGGGGTTCTCAAACCTGACCACTTTAAGACTTGTGGACTTCAACTCCCAGAATTCCCAAGCCAGCCATGGCTGGCTGGGGAATTCTGGGAGTTGAAGTCCACAAGTCTTAAAGTGGCCAGGTTTGCAGACCCCTGGCTTACAGCCTAGCTTACTCTTTCTTGGAGGGTGAGGTTTTGTGGCAATAAAAACAGTAGTAATAATAATAGTAAAAAATGATAGGAATAACTGACCAAATAACTGGTTCTATTGCTTTCCTCAAAGGGATTTGATGGCCAGAGTCTTCCCTTGAATATCATTTTTCTTCAATATGCCGTACCGGATTCTGCTTCCATTCAACAATGGCTGGAAAACTAAACTGTTTGCCTGGTCACTTGCACATTTTTAACTTGCTAGTTCAGGGGTCCTCAACTTTGGCAACTTTTAGACTTGTGAACTTCAACAATTAACCAGTGGAACAACCTGCCTCCAGAAGCGGTGAATGCTCCAACACTGGAAGTTATTAAGAAAAAACTGGACAGCCATTTGTCCGAAATGGTATAGGGTTACCTGCCTGAGCAGGGGGTTGGACTTGATGACCTCCAAGGTCCCTTCCAACTTTATTATTATTATTATTATTATTATTATTATTAACTCCCAGAATTCTGGGAGTTGAAGTCCACAAGTCTTAGAGTTGCCAAGGTTGAGGACCCCTGTGCTGGTTGACATGGCCTCACGATTTCATTTTCCCTCAGAGGCAGCATTATAACAGCAGTGACTACTGTTTTTACAGCAGCCTTGCAGTGTAGGCCAATAGATGTCCCCGAACGTCATTTTGTGAGCTACTCCGAGTTCTCGAGAAAAGCCCCTGTACATCTCACTATGGGTCTCTCTCCCCTTGTGTTTAGCCCACTTCAGTTCTTTCTTTCTCAAAATCTAATGAGAGACTGGGAATTTGGAGAGCACACATTTCCTGATTTTGTTGATGGCCCTTCTGCGTCACTCATTGCTGCCCTCTTTTCTATTTTCAGCACGAGCTTTATATTCGAGCCTTCCAGAAACTGAGTGAATTTCCCCCAGTAAGTATCGTTGGAAACAAAAATGTTTATTTTTGCCATTGTGAGCTGCATATACATTTTCATATACATCTACCCCTTCGTGAAGTTTCAGATTGTTCACTGACTCCCCACAACATTTATTGTATGAAATTAATTTAATAATTATTACTTTAATTAACAACCCACATTCTTCTGTATTGCCAGTTCTACAGAGATATTGGCCACAAGTTGATTGTACCTCTTTTATTTAATTTTCTGGGGGACTTTAATCATTTTTATCTACCTGTCTGTGAAAATAATAATAATAATAATAATAATAATAATAATAATAATAATAATAATAATAATAATAATAATAATAATAATAATAATAATAATAATAATAAAGTTGGAAGGTACCTTGGAGGTCATCTAGTCCAACCCCCTGCTCAGGCAGGTAACCCTATACCGTTTCGGACAAATGGCTGTCCAGTCTCTTCTTAAAAACTTCCAGTGTTGGAGCATTCACCGCTTCTGGGGGCAGGTTGTTCCACTGGTTAATTGTTCTAACTGTCAGGAAGTTTCTCCTTAGTTCTAGGTTGCTTCCTTCCTTGCTTAGTTTCCACCCGTTGCTTCTTGTCCTGCCTTCAGGCGCTTTGGAGAATAGCTTGACTCCCTCTTCTTTGTGGCAGCCCCTGAGATATTGGAACACTGCTATCATGTCCCCCCTCGTCCTTCTCTTCATTAAACTAGACATACCCAATTCCAGCAACCGTTCCTTATATGTTTTAGCCTCCAGTCCCCTAATCATCTTTGTTGCTCTTCTGTGTACTCTTTCTAGAGTCTCAACATCTTTTTTACATCATGGTGTAAAATAATCAAAGCAAATTTATTTCTCTAAAAGTAGCCAAATTTTGCTACATGATGTATAAGCTTTGCCCACAGATGGTTGCTAATAGTTTTTTTTTTTGTTAATAGGGGATAGTTTTGTGTTATTCATTTTATTGATTGTATTTTTATTGCTCCATGACTAAAATAAAATTGTGCCTGTCTCTGTAATTAATAGTACTAATAATAGTAGTTAATAATAACTACCTTCCCAATAATAATGGTATTGGCTCCTTGGGGTCAATATTGTCCACTCTGGGGAATCCTGCCCTATAGCCATGAGAAGAAACAGCATATATATTTCAAAATAGATTAAAAAATAGCCGCCCAGAACCACTTGATAGTGGTATGGGCAGCCAATAAATTTAATAAATAAAATAAATGACATTGGTTAAATTGAATTGTACTGTTGGCTTAAGACCCTGACAAATTAAACAAGTCCCCCCCCCTGTCATTCAGTAGCCCCAGTTCCCTCATTGAATGCTTTCCCTCCGTCTCTTCTTCTGTGTTAAAAGATCAAAGACCAAGAATCCGAGGCCCAGTACTGCAAACTGGTCCGACAGCTCCTGGATGACCACAAGGACATTGTCACACTGCTGGCGGAGGGCTTGCGGGAATGTCGCAAACACATCCAGGTAACTGGGAGGATGTTTGTCCAAGTTGGTGAAGCCGTTGGGCAACAGCCAAAGAAGTCAGTGGTTGAAGGCCTTATTTTGAGAGGGATGGAGATAAGGCTGTCAAAATGTCAGGAGATTGTGAAGTCAAGAGGTAGCTTCTCCATTATCAGTGAAATGATCCTTCTTCTCAGAAGGATGTTTGGAAGAAATCCCCAAAATCTTCCCCCTCATGAAAACAGGGATGTGTTTACTTCAAGTGGGAAATAGTTGAATTGATGGGATTCTTGGAAGTCTATCCAATAAACTGGATTTTCTTCTCAATAAAACTTCACAAGAGATTTCCGTAAGAATTGGGCTTGAAATCCCCTTCATATGTAGATGATGCCTGATAGGAGTTCAGAACAGTTAGACCAGGGGTCTTCAAACTTGGCCCTTTTAAGACTTGTGGACTTCAACTCCCAGAATTCCTCAGCCAGGCATGCTGGCTGAGGAATCCTGGGAGTTGAAGTCCACAAGTCATAAAAGGGCCAAGTTTGAAGACCCCCGAGTTAGAGCAATGTTTCTCAACCTTGACAAAGGGTGGACTTCAACTCCCAGAATTCCCCAGCCAGCCATTCTGGCTGGGGAATTCTGGGAGTTGAAGTCTACCCTTTGTCAAGCTGCTAAAGTTGAGAAGCGCTGATTAGAGAATAAGTTCGTGAGGAGAGACTATTTATCCAAACCTGCTCCGTGCTATAAAGCCTTTCCGATTTCACTCCTGTTGCTATAATCATCTGAACCACCGAGTTAATTTTGGGGAAATGGATGATATAATGAAGGCAGCTCATTCTTGGATCTCTCTTGGAGGGAAAACATTTCAATCCCACCTGCGCCTGTTTAACAGCAAACGCCCCTCAAGGGGAAGAACGTTTGAGGAAGATTGAGTGGGAGGAAAGGTTTTTCAGTTGCTTTGAATCTCAGAAGCTCTCCTGTTTCTTTCCAGGACGAGAAGGTGATCCGTTCTTTTCTGGACAAGACCCTCACATCCCGCTTAGGCATCCGGATGCTGGCTACTCACCACCTGGCCTTGCATGAGGACAAAGTACAGTCTTTCTTGAATTGAACTGAGATTTTATGATCAGGAAAATTAGATCTGTTCCCCCATCCAAGCCAGCATTATGGCTCAGCCCTATAATAGCTTTTTTTCCAAAAGGTTTTTCTTGGCCTTGGATTGGAGAAAAAAAATATCCTTTAATCTAGGACTGGCTGCAAACATGGTCAACCAGAGTTTCTCCAAGGTTAAAAAAAACAAAACACAAGCCTTGTGACTATCCCAAAAGTGCTTTTTTTTTCAGAAGGACAATGGACTTTGTTTTTCCTTGAAGAAGTTTCGCTTCTCATCCAAGAAGCTTCTTCAGTTCTGCCAGGTCACAGGAGGTTGGCAGCACCTAGCCCAGTGATGGCGAACCTTTTAGAGATCGGGTGTCCAAACTGCAACCCAAAACCCACTTATTTATCACAAAGTGCCAGGGCCGCATCAGCATTGTGGTGCCCTCGGGGCAGGGGGGGCAGGGAGGCGCCTCTGAGTGCTGCCTCTGGCATGCAAAAACAGGGGGCGCAAAAATGGACCAATATGCTGCAAGGCGCAAAAACGGCTGCCGCCATGCCGTGGGGTGCAGATACAAGGTGCTGCACCATGCAAGAATAGGGCAGGGTTAGTGAGTATCACGCAGGCACTAGCCCCACCCTATTTGCAGTGTGTGCATGCTCGTGCCCCCATGTAAAATGCTCCCCCCTCCCTTTTCTTTCAATCCACCAATCGGCAATGGTTGGTGACCTCTGCTTTACTGCCTCTACTCGAGGTTGCTAGTCAGCTGCTTCACCTCCTTTGTGCTGGGGAGGCTCCTGCTCCGGGCGGCGATAGTAGCCTGATGGACCTGCTACTGGTGGCGGTGGCAGGCGTGCCAACAGAGAGGGCTCTGAGTGCCGCCTCTGGCACGCGTGCCATAGGTTTGCCACCACTGACCTAGCCAATTTTGGTTGATCTTGGCAGCTAAGCCAGGTTGGAGGGGAGGCCACTAGGAAATCTTAGGGTTGTAGTAGGCCAAAACAAGAAGACAAAAATTGCTGGAAGAAGTAGTAGCAACTTACCTTTGCGTTGTTGCCAAGAATACCCAGACTCAAAGTTTCTTCCTTTTTCAAAAATTCACATTGCCATTCAATCTTCTCAAAGTAAACATGTCCTCAAACAATGTTCCACAAAGTTTCTCGTTTCTGATCATCCCTACTAACCTTCCTTAAATCTGTGCCATTTGCCCTAATCCTTCCCATGCTGTGGTGCCCAGACTGTCACAAATTAAATTAGAAATATTATTTTCCTGATTCGGAAATTCTGTCTCTTTGGACATCTCCCAAAGCATTGATAACAGTGAAAGGAATTGGCCATTTTCAGCAGTTTGCAGACCTTTTCAGCACTGAAGAATTCAGAACAGAGGTGGATTTTGAGAAGTACAGAAAACAAAGTTGATTCTGTGGGCAGTTTGAGAATAGGGAGGAAAAAAAAGTGGAATTCCAAGTTCATAGAAAAGCATGAAAAATCAGAATAGAAGAGAGAAGAGCAAAATAAATAAATAAATAAATAAATAAATAAATAAATAAATAAATAAATAAAAATAATAATAATAATAATAATAATAATAATAATAATAATAATAATAATAATTTTATTGATTAGCCCTTGGGCCATATCAAAGTGCAAAGTTCCAACAACAAATCATTACCAAAGTCTAATAAAAGCAATTTAAAATAAAATTTGATAAAATACAGTTTAAAATGGAACTAGAATAAAATATGACTTAAGATGAAATTGGAGTAAAATATAGTCTAAAATAAAGTTAAAATAGAGTACAGTAATTTAAAATATAGATAAAATATGACAGCAAAATAAACAAGAAAAAGAATGATGTATTTTTTCCACTGTTCCAAGCAATTCTTACAACTTCTTCTGCTATGTCCACTTTCCATTCTTTCTGTAGGAAAATTCATCTGTCTTGTAATGTTTTATTCTAAGGACTTTTCTCCTCCTGCAGTTCTATTATTTATTATTTATTTCAAATAATAGAATAGAATAGAATAGAATAGAATAGAATAGAATAGAATAGAATAGAATAGAGCTGGAAGGGACCTTGGAGGTCTTCTAGTCCAGCCTCCTACTCAAGCATGAAAACCTATAGCATTTCAGATAAGTGACTGTCTAGTCTCTTCTTTAAAACTTCCACGATTTCTGGAGGCAAGCTGTTCCACGGGTTAATTGTCCTCACTGTTAGGAAGTTTCTCCTTAATTCCAGATTGCTTCTCTCTTTGATCAGTTTCCCACCATTGTTTCTTGTCCTGCCCTCTGGAGCTTTGGAGAATAGTTTGACACACTCTTCTTTGTGGCAGCCTTTAAATACTGGAATACTGCTATCACGTCACCCCTGTTTCTTCTTTTCTTTAGACTAGCCAAACCCAAGTCCTGCAGCCGTTCTTCATATGTTGACCAAAATTGGTTACTGTATTCCAGGTGTGATCTTATTAGGGTTTTATAAAGCAGTACTAATACTTTGTATCATCTTTATTCTATGCCTCTGTTTATACAACCCAGGATTGTATTAGCTTTTTTGGCTGCTGCTGCACACTGCTGGCTCATGGTCAAGTGATCGTCCACTAGGACTCCAAGGTCCCTCTCAACAGTTGCTGTTTTTGAGCCAGGTCTCGCCTAATCTGTACTTGTACCTTTGATTTTTTCCTGCCTAAATGTAAAAATTTGCTTTTCTCCACATTAAAACTCATTTTGTTGGATAGAGCCCATTGTTCAAGTTTGTCGAGATCTTTTTGGATCCTGAGCTTGTCTTCTGGGGTGTTGGCTATTCTTGCCAGTTTAGTTTTATTTCTTTTATCTCTTTTCTTCTTTTCTATTTTCCCCCCAAGACCTATTCTTCACAGTACATAATGACTTCTTTCATTCTAATTCTCTCAGACAATCAGACAATCAGATCAATTATGCCTTTAGGTATATATATTCATTTCTTTGTCTTGTGTACCTGTGAATAGAACAATGCTTATTTGTATTATGTATTCTTTGTCATTCTGATTCATTCATGCAGCTGGAATGAACTACCCCCCGAGATCCGGATGATTCCGGATCTCCTTACTTTCCGCCGCGCCCTCAAGACATGGCTTTTTCAGCAAGCGGGCCTGACCTAGGGAGGATTTTAGGCAGGGATAATTTTAAAAGTATTTTAATTGGAAACACAGCTTGTAATATTTGGTTTTAATTCGGCTTTTATCGGGGTTTATTTTCTG